TTTCCGTCCATACTTTATTTTTTTTTTCTTGGAGGTCGATTCGTTGTGACGGTGAACACAAAACATCTCTATTTCTTTTGAAAAAAAAATTGCGCGTTATTTCTGTAAAAGCTGAAAAATATCAATAAAAGATCGCAGATAAATCAAACGATCGCAGCATATGGCCATTACCATATTATCGCTTTTATTTTCCGAATGTTAAAGCCTATATATCGGATAAAATCTCTCTTCTGCCGATCTATATATATAATATAAGGCCGGTTTTATGGATGTCGATAAAACATCTACTTGTTGAATGTAAATGCCCTTTCTCCAATTCCGTACATATATTTTTTATTCGAACCGAATAGTTCACATGCCGATCGATTTAATTTCTTTGATAAATTTACTTTAACCGAACTACAGCAGAATGATTTATATATTAGCAACAGAAACTGTTATTATTCGCTATTTTAAAGATTATCTAGACATTCTGTGTATTGCCTAGTCTAATTTGTTAAATTAGAACAAGATTTAGTTTATTTATAGTTTTCTTTCTAAAGTTATATTTTTAGTTTGTTGCCATTTAAAAAATGTTATGCAATGTTTTCGAGTAAATATCCACTATAGGAAACTCATTGTCCAGAATCGAATTGATGTCTCATTTGTAACATTATTTCTGCTGAAAATTCCACGTAGTTTCCAAACAGCAAAAAAATCCCATTGTAAAAGGAATTTCAACAACAATAACGTGTTGTTATTTTGTGGAACATTCCAAATTTTCTTATCGCAAGATTAATAAATAGCATATATACTGTGAAAGTTTTTAAATATTTTATGAGATGGTGACTTTTGCTTTTGGTGACTTTTTGAACACAAAGACTTATTTTATAAAATTATTTAAAATTTTAGCATTTATAGTTTTCCTTTCTTTATAATGTATCAGAAAAATAGATGTTTTTAGAATTTTATCTAAAATCTGTTAAATGTAATGAGAAAACTCTGCAAATTATGTTCAATTACAGACAAAAAATATCAGTCTTCGTTTTCCATTTATTTTTTTAATTATTTTAATTTAACTCGATTTAATTAATTAAAATACATTCAATAAATCTTTTGCATTGATTTTATGAAAACGTTTGAAACTGAAGACTTCCACATAAGTTAATAATAAAACGAATTTAATCTCATTTCTCTTTTCTTTTCTAAATACTCGTTTGAGAGCAACGAGAATTTACAGAAAATAATCTTATTTGTTACTCAGATCGATATTTTCTCGTCGGCGAATGTTTTAATTAGAAATTTCTGGTTGTAATCATCTGGATCCTTAATGAAATTAATTACAAATTAAATATTAGTTGCTTGCACCTGAAACTCAATCTGTGCATAATTATGCTGGGAAATAAATTGAGCGTTGCATCTGCTGGCTCCGTTTTACCCGATTAGGAAATTGCCAAGAAATTGCTGTTAAATCACTTATAAGAAAATAAATTCAAAACTAAATACATTTACATTCGTAATCAAATATGTCACCTGATTATATTATATCAACTATTTTTATGATGTTCAATTGAATTACTTTTTCCTTCTATAAATACAAGTAAATTTAAAGTAAAAAATGCCTATAAAAAAAATGTATGCGTTAACCATATATTCTTCTAACCTAGTTCTTATTTGTACCAGTTTATTTTTACTACGTATTAGTTTAGAAAGTAAATATTTGTTACACTTACCGTATTTTTATATACGTTTCAGCGTATATATTTTTATACTTGAAAATTATTAAAACATATTGATGCAATATCTTTTTTATACCAGCATTCATCTTATTAGAAAACTACGTATCTCCGAAATTCTGATAGAATATTTAAATAAAATTACTTCTATAATACTATTGTTAACAAAACGTATAAATCTGATAGAAAAATATGTAGTTAACTGTTGGTTGCATCGAACCCAGTCTATTTGCATTCCATTACCGGCAGTTCCTGTGTTAGGTGGACGTCCATGTATCTGTCTGCGTGCATTCATTATTTGCACTTTTTCCTTGTTCATATTTAAATCTGAGTTGAAACTCGATTGGACAATGCAATCGATCAGTGTCTGCAACAGTATTCGCCAATATCACTGTATTGTCAGCATAATGGAGCGTATTTACTACCGTATTATTGACAGTTTGATCAACGATTCCATAGAACGGAGGATAGGATTAAATTATTGACGATATAAAAACGGAAGAGGAAAAACATGTTCGGCATCGGGAAAACAATGTCCAAACGTAATAGAAAATAGGACACAAGTCGTACACAAAATAAGATAAGCTTTATTATTTTTATAAATACATAATTTTACAAGATACGTTAGGTCATTTTCATATATTTTTAAATATATATATATATATACTTCTTTTTTGTTAATTTTATTATATTTTGTTCCATTAAAAGCCAACAATAATTAATTAATTAATCAATGTTTCTGTATCGAAGCGCTTTTACAATTCCAGAGCAATGACGAAAAAAAAAACTTCTTCTCATTCGACGTCCGTTTGCTTTGTAATCGTTCTTCCAAGCAGAAATATTTGCATGGTACACAGATCGAAAGATATGTTGGAATACTGCTGTATTATTATCGCTTTGAATCTAAGTGAAGCACGGGATTCACTTAAATTAAGCACGAGTTCTGCAAAAGTTTACACCGAATCGAAGCAAAGCGTCCATCGAAGTTCTCACGAAAGGAAAAACATGCGGAGAATACTCGGGTTCAATACACATTCAGCTTACATTTGTCACATCTGTCTTTCTCAGTCGAAATGGATGTTATATAAGTATGCAGTTGTTGCGAAATTTCTCAACCGACGACCTTCTTCACTCTAAACATGAATTTGAGTAGTATTATCCCCAGTGTTCTATTATATTTAGTTCCAAGTTGGCAAAGTACTATCCTCTGCTTAACTTTCCTAATGCGTAAAACATCAAGTACCATATAAACGTCAGTGTGCATTCTGGAAAATTACAAAATCCCATTTGTGTAATTGTTTTTTTTTTGGTGTGCGAGTCGAGTTTAATCATTGATTAGGTCAGTTCCGAGTTAACGCGAAACATCGTTTGTGAATGAAAAAAAAACAAACAAAAACGAGAGTTAACTGCACTAATTACGATTCCTTTGAGGCCAAAAGTTAAATTAAAACATAATTCTGGTATGGTATTAAATAAATACTCGTCCCGTTTTCGAGTGCGCTCAATTTTTAATATTCATTTTTATTTATTTTTTCGTTGTAGCAATAAAAATATTTTTTAATATCCTAAAAATATGAAACGACTGAAAATATGTAATTCACATAAAGCCGGTTTATATATTTAGTAGTCGCAGCAACAAAACGCAGTTATTTTAAATATTGAATGGGATGTAATTTAATGAACGAATGAATAAAAGTTTGCTATGCGAATCATTTGTTTTTACATTTTGTTTTAGCTGTTGTTGTTGTTGCTCTATGCGCTGGTTTTTTTGTTATTATTCGCGGTATTTATTTGCAATTTTGTTCGGCCGTATTTGCAAATGCGATTATTTGATAAATAATTCCGTGGCCGCACATAAAAATGCCATCGTTATTGCTGCAGTAGTATTATTATATAAAAATGGATATTACAGTATTATATAATTTGAACATATTGCATTTTGCGGCTGCATTCAACTTTGTTTTCAACTAATTGACGTTTCTTTGTGCAGTTATGATAAATTAATTGTATTGAACTGACCTACAAATTACATAATGGAAATAATAATAGAATTATGACATTGAAATCTATTTAAAGGACAGGAAGACTTCTGTGTGTGTATGTAATACAAGTTTATAACACTTAGAAGTTAATGTATTTTACAATGCAGTTATACTGCTTGGGCTACTATCATTTAGTCAACAAATATTATATAATAATAATATTAATATAAATAAACTAAACAATTAATAAATAAACAATATATTATAACTTAAACAAAACGACTGTTTTAGAAGTGTTACGTAATATATAATATTTATTGACAGAATAAAACTATTTAAAATAACCTAACTACGTTAGTAATTTGAAATTACTATCTATATAGAAAAATAGCGTTGACTTGATTTGATTCAGCCTTTTCGAGTTCGTCGAACGAAAATTTCATCGAAACTATTTACGAAAATAAATGTTATATTTTTTGGCACATGATTTCGTAAATTAAAATTTGCTGCTATTGGAACGAAGGAAGTTTCATTGATGATATCATTAAATCTTCATAATTATATCATTATTTAATTTTAACTAATATACTTTCATTTGTGTACCGTAGTTCTGTTGATTATTTTTTTTATTGAATATGTGTGTAAAAGTAGTTTCATTTTGCGTTCGATAAATATAAGCTGAATGGTAGTGGAAGTAATCCTGAAATCTGTTGGAATACTTACCAATTTGCAAGCAAATTAAGTGAAAAATTGCACATCGGATGTACCCTCTATATATATATATATATATAGTAGATACACTTTGGACGCTTTGCTTCGTCACCCGGATAATCCGGCAGAGAGTTAAAACTGAAAACGTTATGTAACAACAAACAGAAAAAAAACGCTCCGTAAATCAAATGCCTCGCACATTATTATTAGTATTATTACACGTTATATAATATATAATAATACCATGTTCCGTAAATTCATATTCCCCGCCGCAACCCCACATCTCTCTCTCGTTATTAATAGTATAATATTATATTTTTTTTACATTTCCTTTTACAATATTTAATATTTTACTTTATATACAATATCACTTTCAGTTTGATTAAGAAATATCTTGTTTTACGTTCATCTTATTAAAAATATCACTATGGATCGTCATTTACATATATTGTCAAAATCTCATTTGTTTCAGGCTCTTTTAGACCCCAAAAAAAGAAAATATAAGTAAAAGTGAAAAGATAATTTACTTTACAATATTTTTTTCCCTTTTTGTTATATAATACTTTATATATATATTACAATGATTCTCTGGAATCCCATCGTGTTTTTCTTTTGTGAATATTTTTTTTGTTTATTCTGTTTAGCTTCAATTAATTTGCCGAGCATGCACACCGTGGTCCCAAAACATCGGCGATTTTTTTTTCATAAAGCACACAATTAGCACATGTAATCGCTGATTCGTTGATACGGAAATCATTTTTTTTTCTTTCTCTTATGTAACTCAACATTCAATTAGGAAGTATCCAAGTAAGTAACTTGGAGTTTGATATTTGGGTTTTCGTGTTGGACGATGTTCATCGTCAAGTCATAACGCTATGTAGTCTATGCAAATTTGTTAGGGTAGTCACATCGTTAGGCTGCAACCGCAAAGCTTCCCGGTAACTGTCGGCTGCCTCTCGGTATTTTCCATTCAGGTGAAGAATTGCTCCTAGATTCGTGTGTCCTCTGGCATCCTGTAACAATTAGATTTATTTAATATTTTGATTTTGTTTCATACTTATACTATACATTCTATACGAATTATACGAAGATTTCAGCCCTTTCATTAAATAAAATAAAAAGTTTCTGATTATTATTGCCGAATTTAAATAAGTGTATTATATAATAACATTAAGTAAATAAAGTATATGTTTGCATTAAAAACCATCTGAAGTCGTGATTTGCGAATGAGGAAAGTATCTAAGAAGTAATTATTAATAAATAGTTTATAGTAGGCAACCAACTTTGCTTAATTATGTTATAGCAAATATAAATATGAAATAGAAAAAAATCAGTAATCAACAACTAATTGAGTAATTGAGTAATATTTGGGTAATTTGTGTTTCAATAAATTCATCATTTTCAGTTACGGACAAGAATTAGTTATATATGTATGTAATTATTGCTGATTATTGAACATTTGTACATTTCTCACTTTACGAAATTTTGATGAAAACGAATTTATTCACAAATAAAGTGCGAAAGATGTATATAATAATATATAAATTGAAACGAAAAAGATGTTATACATTCTTATTAAAGTAGAATATCCTTATATATATGTAAACGAAAGAGAAACATAACTACTTCAATAGCTTTTAAGATGATTAAAACTAACAATAGTCAACAAGTTCCACTTTAATTATACCCATTATGCCAGGCACTTATAGAATTCAACCACTAATTTCATTGTGAAATTAAATTCCTCCTACACAGTAGACACAATGTAATGGTTCTAAAAGGCCCATCAAAACTTATGTGAACTGCACTTTGCATATATATATATATATCTCAAAGAAACAATACAAATATATTAATCTAGCAGATTACATTAATCCTTAAGAAATTTTCTTTTCAATTGGCTATTAACCATAAGGTGCTTAAACGGTATAGTGTGAATGTGAGTTGTATTATTATTGTATATCCAAAAGTATTTTCATTTTATTTATATTAATCCTCTGCTCCAGTCCTAGGCTGGTTTTGCGACAGTAGTTAAGTTTTGTTGAGAGGAGAAGAAACCTCGCATAGGAACCATGGGTGGAGTCGTGGTACTGTAAGATTCTTACCCACTAAAACCTCTTCTCTTCTTCATCAGTATCCAGGTCCGGTATTTTGGTAAAACTCCTCAATGCAGATTGTCTTTGTTAGCAAGCACTTCACTTCGACGTGTGTTGGTTTCGACTACCACTTTCTTCCTTTTCTCTCTCGATCCTCCTCTTCCTTAATGGAGTGCACCCCTGAGAAGTATCTTGCTACAATGTCCCACTTCTCTTAGCTCTTTCACCAACGAACACCTCTAGTTCTACCACTTCCAATGGACGTGTTCTGGTTTATCCTCCTTCTTTGATATGAAGTGCAGGTATATGCCGAAGCACCAATGTCAGGAAAATTGTTTCACTTCTCTCTAGCCAGAAACTCGAATGGTGGCATGCCAGATACAATTTGCAATGCGTCTCGGAAGACTGACCTGCTTAGTGCTTTGTGTTAATTATTTTTTCTTTAAATGCAATGTTATCTTTTACCTTATTTTATCTAGTATAATATTGAATAACTTCATGCCATGTACGTATGAGTAAACTAATATTGACACTATTTGTATATAAGTAAATAATTCAAGTCTTAGTAATAATTATGAAAAATATTAATAGATTATATTTGATAGCTGTTCTTATTCCACTCTGATTTGAGTGTAATTTAAGTGTAAAGACTGTTATTGATGAGACAGCGACTTGTCATTAGTGACAAATCGTTAAGCCATTAATCGGAGTAAGTAGCAAAAAATCAAAAGATTTATAAATAACTAAAACTCAATTCATACCGTGGAAACACATCAGAAAGAAAATCAATTTATTTGTCGGAGAGATAATTTAATTTGTTTTGTAACCACAATTCGATCAAATATCAATTGCTGTCTTTGGGGCTGTTGGTAATTGCGTGACCATTTATTTGATGGACAACATTTGCTGCATTTGTTAATGAACAGCTGCAAAAGTATTATTAAGAATATTTAATTCCATTAGTAATTTTAAACTCTTCTGGTGGGTATCCCGAGACTTCCAATTACGCAAATTAAATTTCTGGTGAATTTAGGATAAATAAATTATCCTTGAAACTGGGATTAACGAAATTAGTATATGGCATGGTATAAATTAATTAAGTTTGTTTTTACAAAAACAAAATGATTTGTTGCGCATAACAAAATTGCGGGATTATTAATTAAATTTATTCACATATTAAAGTGCTTTCAGTAAAATTATAATAATTGATTATTCGGATCCCGCGCTTTTTTAAAACTTGAATAGTTTAGCGTGCGATTATATTCATTTAGGGTTGAGATTTTGCGTGTCTTCTTTCCTGTGGTCAAGGTTTGAGGAGGTATGAAAAAGTTTCTGGTTCTCGGATGGAAGTCTCTGCGGCTAATAGCTAAGGGTGGAAGCGCGGGGGCGTAATTAAATCTGTTCTTGAGGACACCCTCTCGCGAGGCAGCATGAAAAAGAGCCCTTTTAATAGTTCCCCCCGTCTCTGCAGGTTTTTCTCCTCCCTGTCCGTTGCGTAATTGGTTTCTTGTGCTTCTGCGGTTATTTGATTACGCGCCAAACCAATTTGATTGAAAGTATCAATTAACTGCGCAGAGACACTTTTTCCCTTACATAAAAAGGAAGTATAATTGAATTCGTCAATACTGACTCGGGAGTGTGAGGAGGGGCTAAAAAAATGGAACGAACGTTAAAAAAAATGGGGCAAATCAACGGGTTTAGATTGGGAAAATGAGGTAAGTTTTGCGTAAGGCATCAAGAGAAAATACAATTTAGTCCTTATCGGGGATGAGGATCGTCTAGTAAGTAATATATTTTCAAGATGAAATTTAATAACTCTTGTTCTATTTAAGCAGAGTTATTAAAAAAAATTGACGGACGCAGTTCAAATTTAATTTCATTTTAACGACAGCTTTCAATCAGAATTGCCGACAAAGCACAAATTTCATTTCATCCAGATTTATGTTATTGTACGAATCTAATATAATCAGTTTTTATAATTATAAATATTTTTTTTTATAATTTCTGTAAATTTCTTTTTTCTCATAATTTTGATTTATTAAATAATAATTAGGTTAAACCAAAATGTAACACATTTTTGCTTAGTAAAATGTAAATTGATTAATCCAAACAATCCAAATTAAAATATAAATTATATTGTACAAACTCTTTAATATATACGCAAGAGATATATTTTGTAATTAAAATTTAGTTTATGCTAAAATAAATGTAAAACAATTTTACTAATTGGAATCTAAATTGAAAAGCATTCGCTGTGCGGAAATAATGCAAATTGAAATATAATTTATATATAATACAAAATCGTTAATTCTAATTTAAAATAGTTAATTTAAATAGGTAATGGTATTTGTTAAGTTTTACTTTTAATACTTCGTTACTCGCGCGGCGCTTCTTCTAACATTTAGTACTGAAAAAGTGGAATAATCCGAACCTTCTTTATACTGACTGACAATTTGTAAAAACACATCTCTCCATTTTCTAAAGATTCTTACCAGAGTCCATCAGACGCCAAGTGAGTAGTGATTTCATAATATTTTACTATGTAGCAATTTTTCGTATTTTTTTTCAAATTATACAACTAAACAACTATATGATTCACTAAGAGTTACAGAATCAATAAGAACCATTTTATGAGATTAACAGCAAAATATTCTTAGCAGAGTCTATCAGACGCCACGTCAGTAGTGGTTTCATAATATTTTACCATGTAGCAAATTTTGGTATTTTTTCAAATTCTACAATTAAAAAACTATATGATTCACTAAGAGGTATAAAGTCTCCAACCTTTTTGACCTCACGGACCCCTAAACTCAAAATTTGTGCTCTCACGGATCATTATCAAGATTTTTTTTCCATAAAAATGAGATTCTAAATATGAAATCATACATACACTTACTTTTACATTGGATCTTTTATAAACATGCTTCTTAATAGGTAAAGTTTGCAAAGAAGTAGATCAATAATACAGTAATGTAATTACATGGTTATAGCAAAATTTACGTTGTTATTATTATAAATTATAAAAAGATTTTTTTTACTCAAGGTTTTTGTAATTACCATCACAATTAATTATATTGTTATGAATTATAAAATTCAATCTTTATTGGCAATTACAACCGAAGGGCTAACAACGAAGTCTTTTTGACTGCAAAACTTGATTTTAATTTATTTAATAGATATATATGTCATTTCTGAATAAACAAGTTGCGCATGTCTTAGCAATAAATTCGTTACAGAAATATTATAGTACCTACGTGTACAGAACAAATAACTTTTAGCTAGTGGAGACCCGAGGATATCATGCATATTGAATTCAGCCGAGCAGACAACCTGTAAATATTTACACAGACGATTTTATTCGACGTTCAAAGATGAATAGGCCAATCTCAAAACATCGGACAGACAAAGGAAAAATTCGAAACTCAAATATGAGAAAGCTTGGCAGAATAAAATTTAATTTCATATATATATTGAGAATCTTCGTCGGCTTCGCGTGCGCCGCGAACAATCAATTGTTTTCTGTGTTGTAATACGCTTTATTATTTCATCCTAACCCGACGCTCCTCTACAAAGGGCAAGGCCGTTTCGGTCACGAAATTAATCAGAATGGAAAACCGTAAAGCAATCAACAGCCTGTTGAGTTTTTTTTTCTCTCCATTTATTTCTTTACCTTTTTTCACAGTGTGTATTTGTACGTAACCACTAATTGGAATAAAATTGGATAAAAAAAAACTTACGGAGGGTTTCAGCAGCACGGCTCTCCTATACCAATGCTCTGCATCTCCGTGTCTTCCTGCTTGTCGCATCGCTGTGGCTGCAGCGACTGCCAATTCGTAGTCCATTGGTTTCAGTTCTGCCGCTTTTTCGTACAGATTAGCGGCCTCCTTGTGCCGACCTTTTGATGCCAGAAATTCACCTGCAACAAAAAAAAATAGAGAGTTGAAGCGAGGTAAATAAAAAAAATGGATGATGCGAGTTTCGCCACAAAATATCTCCTCATTAAGTTAATAGGGCATACATCTTGCACCCCCAGGTCGGCAGTTTTCATTGAGAATTATAGGCTCGGTTAATATCCTCCGGCGAGTTAATAAATTTTAATTTTCGCACCGCTATTTATATTTTATGAACGACTGAGGTAGGTTAGGTAGGCCCGAACAAAGTTCATTTCGTTCTAATGTTTCTGCTGCAGAAAAAAAATATATCCAACACAACGTATTAATTATAATTAAAATACGTAAGCTTCCCCTAACATTAATTATATCATTAAAATGTTAATAAATATAATGTTCATATTTATGCATAGTAATCCCTCATTAGCTCACGGTGTTAAATTACCCAAAATTACAAAACAGAATGAAATTAATCTCACAAATAATATGCAATTATATATAGATGCCTTTTTTATGTTAAACCTCGTTATCATTTTTTTTTTGTACATTCTAAATATGAATTTATAATAATTAATCTATATGATCATTATATTATATGAAAATTATGCATTTAATCTATTGATTATGTAAACAATATAAATAAAATAAAACATCTTCAAATAGAAAATAAGCATGTTCTTTTTGATAGTCTTCAATGAGTTAAAATGATTGTAAATGATGATGATTTCTTACATAACAAAGTTGAATTTTTATTTATTTTTCAAAAATAATCATTAATAGTAGTTATTTTTCATGATCTTGCAACATTTTGATAAGCAATCTATTTTTGTAATTTGATTAATATATCATAATATTGTTAATTTAATATATTTTATTAAATTTTCTACTGAAACCAATAGAAAAAATAAAAAAAACCGGTCTGGATTCTGGATTAGAATAGGGTGAGTGACCAGATAAGTCCAAAGTATGGTCTACCGCACTGCAGTACACTGTCTCCAACTTTGCACATCCTGTACATAAACGGCATGCCTTTCACAGAAACTTCGTGTATATATAGAGACAACAAATCTATACAGCAGCGCACAGATAATACAGAAGATATACATAACAGTTGAATTATACGTAATGAATGTTTTGTTACGCTTAAACAATATAATCTCTCAATTAATAACGAAAACAACTTAAAAACAATCGGGATTTGAAATAACATAATATAATTTTTATTTATACATATAATACTTTCATTAGGGTCATTTCATTTTTGTCTAGATATGATAAAATTATCCTATTATAATTATACTTCCGAATCGACTTGTTTAATCAATTTGCTGGTATAGCTGTGGCTTTATTGTTTGTGTCTATGTGGGATAATTGTCACTTTGCATCTTACAATTGCCATAATCAATGAACCTCCCATGCCAACCCCTTAATTGACCAATTAGGAAATATTCCCCTCTATGTTATCCTCCATCTAATTAGAGTAGCATTGTATAAGGATTCTTTGCTTTAGTATTATATAATTATGTTTTATAGAACAGCGATTCAGCTTCTTTTTTTATTGATTAAGCACACATTATTTCTAGAATAAATAATGACTTATTTTATTATTTACTTATTCCTATAAAATGTAGTCGCTAATTACGTTTATACTATATACAAAAACATTAATGAATATAATGCGCTAGGATCTATAATATTATACCAGCATGTAATGCATGTCACAAAGGGCTGTTACTGGCAGCAATTGATAAAAGCATCATATCAATCGAAAATTAAATAATATCATGTATAGGGGTTAATTTTAGAAATTGACTATTATCTTTGATCGAACCTATGGCAAATACTCGAAATTCCATTATGCAATGAAATGCACTATTCATTTAAGTTATTCATTCATAAATATTTTATTTCACAATAATATATAATTCTTTGATTATATATATATTGTATATATCTTATAATAGACCTTGATTATAATTTTTTTAACAATAAAAAAAATAAAATGTATACTTTACAAATTTCAAAACAATAAAATTTTACTGTAGAATTACTGCATTATAAAGGAAATAATTTATAAAATCTGCAAGTATATTTAGAACTGTAATATTTTACTAAATTTAATTACAAATTCATTCAAGAAAATCGCTACAATTAAATCAAAACGAGAAAAATATGATATGTTCAGAGGAAGTTGTTTTTGTAGTGATTCTTTAGAAAGTTATATTTTCATTACAAACAAAAAAGAAAGACAAAATGTTTTTACAGAATTTTGCGTATTATTAGAATGATCTTTTTGGATACCACGATTAGTACTGTATTTATATATTTAGTTATAAGAAAATTATTTTAATTAATGATTTATTATTTCTTCAATTATTAATTATATTATGTAATCTATATATACTTTTATGGTGTTTAAACGATAACTAGGTTTGCCCCAACTGTAAATAAGACAATCATATTTAATTTTGAAACAGAACGGAGCACCAAAAAAAAACTAGGCCGCTCAAATTTCCAATACGAAAACAAAACTTGTGCGTTTAAATATTGACGTTCATATTTCATGTATGAAAATCGCCGAAAGCGTACAAAAATTTTAGCGCACAATTTTTTTACCGCGGCTTCAATCCCCTAACAAAAAGTAATTTCCTTTCGTTTTGTGAAACATTCAAATCCAGATGATATCCTGCTTCATGGACCTTTAATCTCTCGCAGTCATTTCAATATGTACATCATATCTCATCATTTATTTGCAAATCAAGATTCCTCAATTAACGTTCAATCGCGATTTTTCAGTGGATCTGTAACGATGTTAGCGCCAGTTTCGTGAGAATCAGGGATGGCTTTTCAGAGTTCGTTGTGTCATGTAAAATGCATTTAATTTTCTGTTTATTTGACCGTGTGCATGTGCATGTTCAATTCGCGCGCACCGTTTCCAAACTATCGATTCGCTTCCAGACAATTCGCACATCTGTTTCCGATACATTTTATTCAAACTGCGAAGGGTGGTGGTTGCGAACAAGAGAGGTTTTGCAGGGGTGGTTTTGGTGTAGCGCACCGAATTGTAGACGTTCGCTCGGTTCGTGCTTTTGTTTTATTTATTTTTTTGCGCCAAATTCGAATTGTTGCTGGGATTACGTCCCTGTAATTATTTTTAATGCTCTCGAGCGTCGCGCGCGATTTGCGCTTCGGGCGAATAGGAGCAAAAAATTAAATACTGGGCTGCCTTTGAGTTTCCTGTACTCGTGCTGCCCTTCTCTAAACTCACGAAAGCAAAGGGGATTTCACCAGCCAATTAAAAGTTAAGACACGGGCAAATATCTCTAATGTCTCTACAGGCATTCCTTGCGAATGGAAAATTTACATGTATTTCTTTTATTTAAGCGAGACGTAAAACAACTGCGAATTGCAAAAACGAACAATTAATTAGTATCATTTAATTATACAACAGTCGTAAATCCAATAATAACAACAACATTTTTTATTGCTTAGACAAGTGAAAGATTTTAATTAATTACATACAAAAACAATAGTTAGATGTAAACACAAATATTTCGAAGTTCACATATTAACATGTAACTACAACGGACACATAAATTAAACACATAATTGTACAAATAAATAATTTAATAATTTATTTGTTTAAGTCATTTTTGCAATATTGAGTATCTAATCTGTCTAATGTAAGGAGAGGACAAGGCGTAAATCGAATTCCTTTTATAAATCTTTAATTACGCAATTAATCGCGGAGACACGTTGGAATTGGTAAAAGTTGCCGTGCCGGGCGATAAATTGAAGCGCGCGACGTCGCACGGTTTCAGTTAATTACCTTAATCTGGCTAATGTTTAATACGTTATCTCCGGTAGTTTCTTATGCGGTCGACAAATCTTGTAAAGTTCAACGGAGATGGGGGCATGGGTTTGGGTTTTGGGAGGGATGTGCAGAGGGGGGCGGCTGTTTTCGAGCGGGCGATGGAGGTGGAGGCGCATTAAATGTCCCATGGCTGTGGTTCAAGACATCCCCATCGAGACGGAACTCACTTTAGAGCAAGTTTAGAATTTCATGTAAATTTTCTTTCACAAGAGCTCTCGAAGAAAAATCAATACAAAAGGTGTTTTGAACATAAAAATTCTCAAACTAAAAAAATAGACTATAACTATAATTAGTTGCGGATTAAGAAGAGTCTTAGCAAATTATATTTAGTGGTAAAAATATTATATTAATGTACTAACTATAATTATATGTTAATGTATGGATTTATTAATATACAGTAATGAAATATGCTATAAATTGAAGATATAATTGACATAGCTAGTAAAACTTAATGATAAGTATGTTAAATGAATGATTTGATATTTAAATAATATGAGTTTCTTTTATTATTGTTGAAATAAAATGAAAATAGGACATTTTAGTTTCATACCTTGTACATTTTGTAAATTTGTATTATGTGAACGAAGTGAAAGGTTGTGTGTATTTATAGTAAATTTAGTGTTGGACGAAGGTAGTGTTTGTTAATCGTTGGAAAGAGGGTAATTGAAAACCGTAAGAATCCGTACCAGTCGGAGGGGTAGAGGATGTTCGGGGAAAATTACCGGTAACACTTTTGTGTTTAGGTAATAGATTTCATGTATGTACTTGGCTAAGTAATTGATTGAATTTTCCTGTAAACTCCGAGAATGGAAGTTATTCAGCAACTTCAACAAAAGATGATGAATCGAGCGGCGAAGCTCTGCACAAATAAATCCCCGTAGATATAAAATAAACAAACACGTAACATAGAGTAAAACGAACGTGAGAAATAAACATGAAATAACAAGAAAATTATTATTTTTCCAGTCCGCTCATTCAGGCTAATTACAAGGGGAATAGTTAACAATGCGAAAGCGGGTCGTGTAACATTATATGGCCAAAGTTTTGATTTAGTTTCAACTGAGCGTCAAATTTTGATGAGAAATACCGTCAAGGAGTCATCCTCTTTGCCCAAACTTCCTTCATTAATAATTAAGGCTAAAAGTTGTTGAAAATTTCCTCTCCCAAACTAACTCGACCCCAAAGCAAAAGATTTCACCCGGCCGCCTCCACATTCTGCTTGTACTCGCAAAACCGAAAACCGGATTTCCCTTTTTTTTATACCGAAACATTAAAAACTTTTCACCTAATTATAAGACACCAGAATCGATCAACTTTAACTTTTCTAATTTAATTAAATACTTTCACTTAGCCTCCTATAAAAAAAATCACAATTAATACTTCAGCATAAGAAATTTATTAATTTTAAAACAAATTTATCACTTACAGAAGTTGTTTACTTAAAGTTTATACTTTTAACGTACGCTCACTAATATACAATTATTTACGCTATTACCAAACTAACGTACAATGATGTAAGAAATCAGGTATATTGCAATTTTATATTATATATAAACTTCTGGTTAAGTCATATTCAGCTGATATCGGATTTATTTTCTATAAGTTTTATATGTAGAAAAGTGGACTTAGAATTTTCTCGAAGTCGTTTTATCATCCAAGAAATATGTTCAGAGTTCGACGGAAAACTGTACGTTCATATGAATATGAGTACGTTCGTGCGAATAAACATAGGTTTGCAACAAAAACATAAATGAGAGTACAACAATACCTTGTATAGTCCGGATTCACTATAGTTCGGTTTTAAAATTTCAAAACAAACCAAATACATTTTAATTGACCAAAATAAAAAGTACACAAAAAAAGTCCTCGATTAGTTCGGTTGAGGTATTACTGTACTTATAATTGAATTCGGATTAACGTACATTCGTTTAGCATACCACTATTTGTGTACATAAAACGTACGTTGACTGAAAGTAGACTATGTTTTAAAAGCAATTTCTGTACAATTTCCTGTTGAACTGCAAAATACAGAAATCGTACCTTCGTGTTTTACGCCATTCTCAAGCATCAAATCCAGCAAACATTATGTACCATAAATCATAATGTAATTTGGTTACAAAATAATTGATACGTTTTATGGAACGAATCCATTGCGAACCAGGTGAAATATTCTTGAAATTGATCTGCAATCAGTCAACTTTACTGCAGCCGTGATTAACGATGTAATTAACTTACGAGGATTATTCAAGCTGCCCCTTGTGTATGAGGGCGAGTGTGTATGTGCGTTATGCAAATAACGGTAACAACCACTTCTGCGTGATTAAACGCACAGATACAGGACTTATATAACTTTGTAAACTAAATCGCGCGCTAAAAGAGAGCGAAAAACGAACCGTGAACAGAGTCGAAAGCTGTATGAACATTTATTTATTTCACGTAATACATTATACTATTACATGAAAGGGGATTTAATAATCTTAAAGTTTTATATAGTGTTTATTAATATTTAAATATACCATGGAATATATTGTTAATTTTATCTCGAAAGCTTTGAAACAAGTGAAAAATAAGCGTTAAAATTATTGAGTGTTCGCATTATTGTTTAGAATGATTGACGTATGTGTTATAGACCGTTATGAATAGTACTTATGCAAAACAACGTAGGATCAAAGCGGCTCTGTTAATTGAGTGTGTAAATTGACATTACTATTAGGATTGACTGTTGAATGACTCATGTTTAAAATAATCAATTTTTGATTAGTATAAATAAACAATGATCAAAAAGTCATTTTGAGGTTTTTGATTAAACTTAAACGTTAGTTCGATAGAGATTCCAAAATATGGCTTATTTTTTGACAGCGTGTCTTCAGAACATAATTGTTATTTAATTTGATTAGTAATATTTAGATTGAATCATTAAATAAACATATTCAAAGTACATTTATTTACACTGAGGTAAATCCATTCAATGCAAAATTCAAAGCGACCAGAGTTTTATTATTATTTTTTAAGGCTGGTCCACGTAGACGCCTTAAAAACAGAGAATATTTATACTATGAGACGATGTTTGCACGAGGTCGTGAGAGGTTGTTCACGTAAAGAATTCTAATTTGTACACCCCATGCATCTATAAAATATTCATGAAATGTAAATATTTGTTCCACCCTCACAGTTTTTTCTCCGGCCTCTCGTTCTTCGTCGTCGCTCCTTCGAGCCACAGCATCCAAAAAATTAAAAGAAAAAATTGAGTAAATATCTCCATACATGTTGCGCACATCTTCCCAATCAACGATTGAACGAAATGCATGCGCCAGCACTAATTCAAACACGAGGCTGTTTGATCGAAATTTTATTACATAACAGAAATCAATTTTTAATCTCATTAGTATATTGATTTGTATAAACTTACCATAGTGATGGTAAACGCTGGCATCTTCTGGCGCCAAACGTTTGGCCCTTCGGAACCACTGCTCCGCCTCGACGATTCGACTGACCTGAAAAAGACATTTGCGCAAATCAGAAATTTTACATAATTATTACGAGTCTCGTGAAAACGATGCTCCGTTTCATTATATGACTTTATAAACTTTCTTCTAATCCTCTTACCTTTACAAATTTACTTTCAGCTTAGAGATTCATAAATAATAATATCTTTATTAAAGCAAAACCGAAAGTTTTTTCCCTCCATGTCTGAAACCCAATTTGAATTTTAATTCGTTTCCCATTCAAAAAGTAATTAATATCGACTTTTTGCGCACATGCTCGAACGCAATAAATAATTTAAATATGCATTTGGAATTCATATTTACAAAAAAAATCGATTCAAATCCTATAGATAAATATTAAATAATGGAACATCCAATTTCAAATGAGTTAATAATTCTTATCAAAAAAAATATATATAAACAGAGAGCGAAATACGAAAATACTCATTTAAATTAATTAGAATACAGACTTTTGCATCTCTTCTGTTCTCCAAAATTCTGATTGATTTCGTTCCACATCAAAAGCAATTTAATTTCAGCATAAATTGAGCCGCTCTGCCGTTGACTAAGTGTGCTGCTGTCAATTAAAATTTTTGTTTTGTTTGTGCAAATAAAGGGGGACCTGAATCTGACCCTTTTCGGAATATCCATGCTGGTGCGTTGAAAAAAAAATTATGAATATTCGTATAATAACGGCCAGGTTTAATCCCAATGATTTATCTCTAAAATGGATAAAAAAATTGTGTTTGTGCCGTACAATCGTGATGAATTGATACTCGCGAATTCCCAAATTAATAATTGAAGTTGATCATTTGTATACAATGACTCTGCTTTGACAGTCAACGAGTATGAAAAATGCGTGTATACAAAAAAAATGGATTTAGTGTTAATCAATCTCGCACAACGTTTGTTTCAATGTTATAGTCATCGATTCCATTCTAAAATAATATAATAATGATACTGTATTCTATTTACTGTACAAAGAACTAAGGTTTTCATCAAAATTTGATTGCACTTTTTAATTTATAGAATACTTTCAAATCAAATCATTGATAATCAGTAATATATTTTGGAAATAATGTCAATGACTTATCAACATTAATGAATTGCTTTGCTGAATCTACAGAGATTTAAATGTGAGTGTTAACTATTAAAAGTAACATTAATCGGTCTGTAAAGTGTTCGTTCGTGTTCGTTGTTCGATTTGTTCGAAGTCTAAACTGTTCGTAAACCGAATTACCCATAATATAATCAATATTTACTACCAAGCGGAGAAAACTATGATGATAATATAAAAAAAGGCTTAAACAGCTGTATTTAAATTAAAGTGCGTTAAAAGAACATATAAATTCAGAAGTTTATGAAAAATATAAATTTTAAATTGCATTTCATAAAAACATTTTTTTATAAATTAACATTATGTTCAATATTTAAACTATGTATTGATGTAAGGATTGTCATAAGTCTAGGAATATAAATAATACTATTATACATAGATTATTCCACAGTTGTATATAGATTAGGAACAGAGATCAATTACCTAACATGTGACTTATGAAGCGTATTATAACTCAAAATTTGTAATGTCAGTTACAACTGCGACTGTAACAACATCGCATGTCACACACATATTGCTAAGTGCAACATATTAAATAATTAATATATTTATTGATTTAATATCAGTTCAGTAAGCGTCAAAATATAGCAGCAAGTCAATCAGATTAGTGACTTTAATTATTTAGACATATCTGAATGTCATTCAAAAGTTAATTAATAGAAAAGTAATTGATATTAAAAATATAGGGAAAACAAACGTATTTTTAGCGTCTTCTACAAGTGCGGATATTCCTGTGTATATAATGATGAAGAAAGTAATATATTTCTTAACGTAATAATTTAAAAAAAAAAGTATAATATGAAAGAACATGATGAAAGATGATATATTTCTGAAGTGAGTGAAATGTATACTTTCAATTTCCGCTCTACATATTTTGTTTTACCTTGTACCATAAATATTTAAATCATGTTTATTCAGTTGGCGTTAATTGGATATACAAAATTGATTAATCCAATGCAAAAATAATTAGATTACTGGAAGAGGCGCTGAATTAATAATAAATAAATCCTCTTGGCGTTTTGATTTCTTAAGAAGGAGTCAGAAAGAAAGAAGGAGATGAAAAAGAAAAAGACAGAGAAATGACAAGAGGGAGAGCAGAATGAAGGTAGGGAAAATATATAATGAAAAGCGATATAAATCTGACTGAAGTCGGGGGATGGCAAAAGAGAACGAAATTCCTTCGCGTTTGATGTGAGCCGAAAGATGGGAACGTTGGTGGTGGTGCGGGGGGATGGTGGTGTGTGGGAGAGGCCGACTCCGGACGGGATGCTGAAATTTTCCTCAGAAGATATTCAGTGAATATTTGTAAGACTGTAGGGCTCCCCGTCTGCAGGAATGGCATTGAAATGTCTCAAGCTGTGACCCGCGTAATCCACAGTATTAATCTACGCGAGACGCTTTAATGCAACGGGCGAAGGGAACAGATGCGGATAGCAAGGACGAAACCGGGACTGCGGTGTGTGTATGCGTGTGTCTGTCTGTCTGTGTATTCACTCCTCCTCTATCCACGTCGTAATCGATTCCATTTTTAATTTCCTAACTGAAGAAAAACGAACCCTAAGTGCGCCAGTCCAATGCTTCTGAAGCCCTTTGAATATTAATAGATATGTAATTTAAGTAGACACGTACACTAGACAGTCTTCATTTAGAATTCCCTTTTTCCGAAAATATGTTTCATTCCATTAAATATACAAGAGCGCAGCTCTCATTAAAGTGCATCAAAACTCCTTTGAAATTCTTCCATGCATCTAAACCAGTACGAAGAGATACTTATCTAACATTCCCTTTTTTAAAGCCATCCTTCATATATTTATAGTGCTTATATATGATATGAATTATACCATCAATTAGATACAATTTGCTATTTATGTTAACATGAAAAACAAATATAAACTTAACATTTACATTTTACAAACATATATTGAAAGTAAGGATTAATTGAAAATAGGCAATACAAAGCGAACGTTAATGAAAACCGTGGTTTGTTATTTTCTATTTTAATATTATACATGCCACGCATACTAAAGGATCGAAACCAATCATCCGTATCTGCACTGCATGTTAGCAAAGATATTCAAAAGCTAATGAGAGATCCTCTGTCGTTCGACTTTACAATAGGATTGGGTTCGTTGGATCTTCGTACAAAAGACGATGAAGAATGAGCGCGAGCAATACATAAAAAGTTTAGAATTTTAAAAATGAACGACATGGCAAAAGCCGATTACTTCTTAGATATGAAAGAGACACTTTCTGTGTATTTAATATCAGCTATATTAGTATATTCTTAGCAAATTATCAAGTTTATATAATCAAAATTCACTTATAGAAAGTGATTGAATCAGGTGTGCATATGATATGTTTAATCAAAATCATGATAGAGATATTTATTTGTACTGTACTATTGGACCATAAAAAGAACCATTCTTTTTTACAAATATTTAAGAAACTGAATAGACTTGTAATTATAAAATTGATCAGACATTTAACGTGCAACAATCTTGAGTCTCTATCAAATAAATTAAATTATCAAGTGTTAAGAGGGTAAATGAGAATTATGTATTCCCTCACGGCACTTGACAAACATGCGAACTACACATTAGTAACATTTTTTTGTTTGCTAAATGTTAATGTCGCGTAATAGCATTTTAAATATTATTTGTCACAAACACAAAACGAAGTTACGTAATAATTAGGACGTAATTTATTCATGTTAATCCAATGAAATTTAATTTTGGAATAATAAAGAGTTAATGGATTAAATTAAATTAAAATGAATATAATGTTAGTAGAATCTTTATAAGGTATTCACTACAAAATATTTTTTTGTATTTGTCGTATTCATCGAATTTTTATACACAAATAAATCGACTTATAGTTGAGTGATTTTGTTTTATAGTCCTGTACATGTATAAACTTTCTGAATTTCGAAAATAGTTATGTTTGATAGGGTTAGAAGATATTAGAAGAAATACAAATTAATTGTAAACAGGTTTAGTTTGAAGACTTTTAATTTAACAAATTATATAGATTATAGTACTGAAGATTGTAAATGATATTGATCCATCAAATTAATATTCAGAATACACGTGAACTTTCATAAGCTATTAATTCCTAATGCAAATGGATTATATATTCAATATGAATTATATTAATTAATACTGTGTGCATCAAGTTAACCCTGGTCAAGTTTTAATTGAAGAATAAGACATTCCAATTGAATTAGACAATGTGTACATATACAAATATATATGTGCATAAAGTACAATTGAGTCACGTATGAATTTCGTTGCGTTTCATGTGTGACTATAATTAGTTTGAATGTATTTAATTAGAGCCGAGCAGAGCGAAGCTAATGTTTCGGTCACGTTGTTTCCGTTTCCAGCTGAATAATTACCGGACTCATACATACAAGCATATACATATATATGCGTATATATAGATATATATATACGTAGATTGAGTATAATTGGAGATAAGGATGTGATTGCGAGTAGACCTAATTAGTGAAACACACGGCGCACAAGGTTTTCAATTACTTAACAAACAAACGAGGGAATATTGTCTGCAGCTCGTGAAATTTCTTCGTATAAATAAAAGCTGTGTTCGTAAATTAAGACACTTACGTTCTTGGCCAGAAGTTTGCCATAAGTTATATGAGCAGGGACGTGGTCTGGTTGTGCGTTCAATGCAGCCTGATACCACCTCTCCGCCTCCTCATCCTGATGAAGACGTGCCAAAGTCTCACCCAGTACGTTGAAAACACTCTGAAACAGATAGAAAACAAGGGTTTTTAATACGAACCGAAGCATCGGGGTCGAATTAACGAATTCCCGTGGAACACACACGAAGATTAGGAAGCCACGTGACCTTAACCCGCTCGAGTTTCCAGTTTTCCCCGTTTCCGCTCCGCACGTCAAGAAAATCTCACTCATGCCTTGGCTCTATTTATCACGAGATGCTTGAAGGCTGCCACTCCAGGCTCCCCAGTTTCGTGACAATTTCACAGAAAATACGCTTGCTAAAGCTTTCCCCCTTTTATTTACTTTTTAACACCAGAAAACAATTAATAAAAAGAAATACCACTTCTGCAATTCCAGCTTTCAATGGCTCTGTTGAGAGCGCACGAAAGTTTTTTTTTTAAATAGCATATTCCTTTTCTTTCATTAATATAAGTCTTTTCATAGCAAATACTCCGTTGCTATTCTTATATAAATGTAACGCAATTATATGAAAGTAAAATAACTAATTATCAATAGTAGACAATGTATGATATTTCACAAACGTAAGTAAATAATTATAAGAAACATTACTACTATTCTAAAGCGTTATGTAGTGTCGGGTTTTGATAACTCAATAACGCGTCTACAGAACAAGCGTCAAAGTTTAAACAAAAATATTACAGCTCAGGCTGAAAAAGTGGCCACAGTAGCCATGCATACAATGTATACAAAGTTGGGCGGATATATCTGCCGTTCGTAGTTAAATGACAATTACATCTTATGATTCGGAAACACATAACATAAGTAATATTGTAATATTAGATAGTAAACATATCTAATAAAAATTTTAAAAATTACCTCTAAACAACATATTAACAAATACTTTATAAAACCTATAATAATATTTTTTTTTTCTAATACAAACAGGTTTGCTAGTATTTTAATAGAAACTTATATTAAAAATTAGTGTATGCAATAGTCATTAATGTTTTATAAAAATAAACACGTTATAAACACAACGTTATAAAACTGAAGAAACAAGACGTTCCAATATGAAACATTAAAGAATACCGGAGGAAATTTCCGCTTGTACGGGCTTCAATATCCGGTAATTAATTTTTAATTACTGGAAAGTATTAAATTCACATTTTACAAGCACCCCTTTTACACTGCTCGTGTTTTTTTTTACTCATATACTCTCTTCTCTTCTTTCGCGTTTCGCCCTCCTTCCGCGTTCTACAATATCGATTCCGGAAATATCGGTTGATTTTTTTTAATGAAATTTTATAATTAAATTTGCGATACTTTATTCGATCTCAGCGGTTCTTTTCACCCATCTCTTTGCGACTTAAACATTGTAATTATAAATATTTTTCGTTCGTTCGTGCCATGACGTAATTGATATTTCGGTTAGTGCATCATTTTGCTGGACCGTTTTCGTTGCCATTACTTTGCAGTATCGTGGTCAAACTTGTGACATTTGAATAATGTTTGCAGCAAGTTGCAGGCGCCGGTGTGCATTACGGATCACCACAAGAATTAGTCTAAAGTCTTAGAGGTACTCTCAAGTAGAGTTCAGGTTACTTCCTTGTACATCCACTTAATATAATTTAAGTAGAGATTAATATTAAAATCATCTTAGCTGATAGATTAATTTGATGATCCAATTTCAAAGTATTTATTAACATTTTTTTGGAAACCATGACATTAAGATTATATCCATTCGATAATACAAATGAATCAATAAACTCGACTACAGCATAGAGATTCAAAGAAAGATCAGAATTATTCACTTCTGGAGAGACGTTTCAGGAGCTTATACATAAATTCAACTGGATTAGTTTATAAAGCTGTATCTACACTGTGCGTGACATAAGACATCTGTATCAGGCGTACCAACTGTTGGTTATTATATAAAGGGGTGACATTGAACTGACAGCTACTGTACATTTTAGTTGGGATACGTTACATATCACTCATAGATACAGCATAAGCCATATAACTTTAGAAATGTGTAATTAATCAATATTTACATTATAAACAATTAGTTATAAATACTTATTATCAATTAATTGTCATTTTTTTCTCTTGTTAACCTATAGATTGCTTTATTAATAAATTTAAAAAAATAAAATTACATTTTTAATTAGTCAACAAAAATTTAAATATTTTTTAAATACTTTCACAAATCAGTCCAGAAGTTATTTACTTTATAGTGTTTTTTTAATTTGACATTTTTTTTTTCTTTTCATAATTCTTCTGAAATTTCATTACACACACTTATACATGTATATCTCGCTTGCATATAAATTTAATTGTATTTTTATTGTTTTATGTACTATTTAATTTGTTAATTTAGGCGCTATAGTTTTGAAGCGCAATAAATAAAATGAAGTAAATTTGTTACATGAAAGAGACTTTTATGAATTTTTTTCGCTATTTAATTAACTCTGTTAATTAAGAATGAAATATTTTCCTCGGCACGCATCTGCTTGTTTTTTTTTATACTCTGGGTAGTTTAATTGTGCTTTTGCGATTTCGATCCCCCGTCTGTGTTTGTCATCATTACACCCGCCCCAAACTCGCTATGTTGCGAAAGCTTATGGAGATTACACGTATATTCCATTATCATATACTTGCATAAATTTATACAATTCTATCTCCCTTTATATACATTACGGTTGGTTGATATTATATATATATAGAAAACGCATTTCTTCTTGCATTGTTATAATCCGAATGTATTCGGAGTCTGTATATTAACTCCCAAGCTCGGCTTTATTTCATAAAAAAAAGGAAAGAGGAAACACAGGAGACATGTAATTTTTCTTCGTTTCCATTTGGGTCTGTGGAGCAGATGCCATGGAATTGGAATCCCGCAGGCAGTGCTCTAAATGAACGAGAAAATGTTGCATTTTCTTTTGCCGCGAGGAGAGGAACGTGGAAAGGCCAACGGAACGCAAGGAAAGAAGGATCTCGAGAGTGAGAGCAACAAGATAAACACGAAAAAAATAATATATATCATGTGGATTTGATTCTGATTTCAGTTTTTTTTTTCTTCCTTTGCGAGGTCGTTCTTTAATAATAGTGAGTCAGGCAATTACGGTGCCGTCTGCGAGGATGCGCTTATCCTTAGACAAGCGTCGACAAGAAATTGGTTTTTAATTAAATTTACTCACTACTTATGCGACGCTCCGATTTTCATACAAATTGCTATCCGCAAATGTTATTACCCTAATCGCATTGCAACAATTACCGAACTGCCTAATTGCAGCGGTTACGTTTTACTTAACTTTGAACTACTTCACATTTTATATTCGTTACAGCGCCGCTCGAACTGGCCATATTTGTAATCCGCGAAGATTATGCAATATAAATATAATGTATGCAGACACGCATTGCATGTTTATACAATTGTCTGGGTTCATTAGAATAAACTTCGCTATGGCAAACAATAAAATTAATTCATGTCCATTAGCTTTCTATTTATTGCTCTCGGATGGATGGATACGCAGCTATGATATTACAACAAACAGCAATAACGTCACTCAATATTTTCACATCGGTGGAAAGACCTACAGCCCTTTTCAGTATTTTCTAATTAATTTTCATTACTGCCTGAATAACCCAGGCAAAATATGTAATTTTAACAATCAGCACTATTAAAATCCAACTGTATTAGATCAATATACGTCAGTGGCAGGTCGATCGTGAGAGATTTTAAGTCGATATTATATTTTTGAAATTTCTGACATTCAATTTATAAAAAGTCCACTTATTCATTCTTGCGTTTGGCACTTGGTAATTACGTGCCCATAGGAATATGCAGAAGACGATCAAAAGGACGTTATTATACGTATATATATTGCATTTAATAAATATTGACCATTTATAAACTTTGTATTTTGTTTTTACTTAGTCGATCACTTTCCGCCTAATACTTTTATGGTAGATCGCCGAAGGGTTAATTCTGAGTATACATATATTACGGTTTTTTTTTTAGAGATATTCAGTATTCTGATTTTATATGATACTTGATACTAAATAATTGAATTTTGATACAGTATTCATGGATATGATCAAAAATGAAGCTACCATAATGAGGGTAGACGAAAATGTAAAAACTAACGATAATGGTGATGACAGAATAGTTGCTGTTTCTGATGTTTAGGTTATAACAAATCGTAAAATCAAAACTAATGTACAATAACATTTTCTGAACGGTTCGCAATGACGTTCAAATGGCTGAGCAGTTTTGCTGCTTAAGGAAAGCGTGGGGTCCTTTTTACACCCTGCTCCGAATAAGATGGGAAAACAAAAGGTTAAATTAATAAAGCGAAGCGGGAATTACGTTCAGTAACGACCGTCTGAATGCAGCAACAGGATGGGTAATGGTTATTACATTTAGTTGAGATATGTGCAAAACTGAGCGAATTGGGGAGTCTCCAATGGCGCACTTAGCCTGATTATCAAACATTTGGACGCAGCTGCTGTTCCCTGGTCCTAACTCATGCACATCAGAATCGTCAAAACCAAACATCGACCAAAATATATGGATAAATAAATATTCAATGCGCAACGCCATAATTACATGGTGTTATATAATCCATTAGTTATTGTAGCCATTACTCTAATGACCTCAATCGATTACGAAATATCCTCTCGCGAGACCCGACCTAAATTACACTAAAAATATTGGCTGGACTCACCTGAGGTGGATAATGATCGGGAAGAGAATGTGCCGCTTCCCTGTAAGTCGCCAGGGCTCTTTGAAGCCGGCCCTGATCCGAATACAGAGCTCCCAGCTGTAGCAGAGCCGACACTCTGGCAGTGTCATGCTCTCGCCTGTCTCTCAGTCCAGTACCATCAACCCTTGACCCTTCCCGAAGAACAGACACGGCCTCTTGACATCTACCGGCTGCTATTAAAGCTGCTCCCAAATTCACGTACGCCACTGTAATTAAACCAATACAAATTCATTATTCATTAACGGTAATGATCATTAACGTTCATTTGCTAAATGTCATTCATTAATCACCTTCTATTTGCAACAATAAAATAACTATTTTAATAATCTAGTGTAAAAGGAGAAGCAAAAGCTATATAATTTACGATAAACTTTAATATTGAATAAAATTATAAATATTACTTTCATAACTTTTTACCCAAAAAAAGTAAAAAACAACGTGTTTACGACATAAAATCATTTACAAATTACGAGAGAAAAAATATGTCGTTTAATTATAATGGATGTTTAACAAAAAGTTGAATGTACAATTTTTTTTATATTTGTTTTCCGAAAGCTAGACAGGAAAAGTATATTAATATAAGTTTTAGTATGCGAGACGTCGAAAACAAGGCAGTTTCTTATACTCGAGGATATTTTTCATTGAATGTAGAATCGCGCTTCCCTTTCTCAGAGAGGAAGGGTGGACGGGACGGGGACGGGTATTGCGCCCTTCAGCTGAAGCCCTTCTCGTCGGAGGCGGATAATTAATGACCGCGCCCGTCCTGAATGTGAGAATTTACCAGGCAAACACAAGAGAAAATATTAATTAGGAAGTAATGTAGGGCGGATATCAATTTGCGCGTGACAACGACCGTTCTTTCTTGTTCTTTTTGTCTCGCGACTAAGACTAAATTAAAATCTCAAACAGAATCGACAGCTTTCACAATGATTAACTGGAATCTCTCCCGCTGTGAGACTAATTATATTATCGATTTCGCATCAGAACTATATACACCTTCTTTTTTGTCCTATTTTTACATTTAAAATCTATAAAGTTTCAGTGTTGTTTAATACCCGTTACATAATATTATTTTATAATATAATACCAATATTATCAAGTTATAGGTTTTAAACATTCAATTTTATATATCTGGTACAGAATAATTGTAAATATATCATTAAATAAACATGATGAATTGACACATTGTACTAGTCACCAATTCAAGTAATATTCATATTGTTTCACTTTCACATAAAGTGTGATATAGAAAGACTAGCATAAAAATAATTATAACTAATTAAAAAAAATGTTTTGTAATCAATTTATTATGATTATGTAAATTTAATTGTTCAATACAAATATTTTAAGATGAAAATTGTATTTATAAAAAAGATTTTTTTTCAGAAGAGCTGAATTTCAAGAAGAGCTGAATTTATATAAGAAAATTTCTTTACTTTCAAAGGGAAACTACAGCAATAATATTTTTTTTTATCATTGCATTGTATTTATCCTTCATTCGCTCGGGCTTTACTAGCAATTAACTACATTTATCAAGAGCTCTTTTGATCTTCCATGGATAAATAGAGTCAAAAGGCAAATACATTTATTAAAACTTTTTAATCTCCTGTGAAAATCGCTTTGATCCACGAACGAGATTTATTGAATTTAAAACAATAATTACTCATCTACATACTGAAATTAAAATGAATAAAATATATGTATGATAAAAAAAAGAAGATAATCAAGTGAACGTTTAAAAATATATAAAAATATTATATAATACGTTTGAAGTATAAAATGTGAGCACAAAATTAGTTTATATATATAAAATATAAATAAATACTTGCATGCTAACCAGAATGTATTGTAAAATTAATAACAAACACATTTCCGATAGCGGTTGTGTTAAAAATGAATGGAATTATTGTGTTTCTCCCTTCCGTTTCCGGTTTTACCTTTTCCACGTTCCAGTTTTATTTTCGTCAGCATTAATTATTAACTTAACAACAGTTAAATTGGATTTGCGGCTTATCCTATAGGGAATTCCCCCCGAAAGCAAGTTACGGGTTCCACGTAATAATGGATACTTCACTGTCAGATGTAATAGATTGCGTAATTTTCTGCTCCCTTGTTTATTAATTAAATTCGGGAATTTGTTAAAGCCCCGAAAACAAATTGAATCCCCATCGAATTGCTCGCTTTTTATCGTAACCTTTTTATACTTTTTTTTGTTTTCTTTCTTTCAGTGTAAATTGAGACACTTTTTTCAACACGTAATATTCTTTGTCTTATATCTCACAGATGTAATTTAATATTGATGATAACGTCTTGAAACCGGACTAACCGGAGAATAAATGCAGCAATACCTCGCATATTGAGAGTAATCGGTTTTTCCAACCGCGTTCTAAACCGAACTAATCGAGGAATTTAAAACCACATAAAAATAAACAGTACAAAAAGGTAGAAAACAATCAATCAATTTTCTGTACTTTTTTAAAATTTTCAATGCGGATGCACTGATCTAATCCGGACTATGCGAGTTATTATTGAAATTAAATGAACTTCCTATAAAATAATATTTATTGGTTGTAATTGTGTTGATGCGGTTTTCTTCTTGTTATATTGTTTTTGGGGAAGATGTGTTTGCAGTTTGTTATATTCGTATTATATCTGCAATCGATAAATCACTTAGATTAAATTCGGTTATGCTGCCAAGTGTGAAACACATCTCTGACACTTCAGTCGTATATTTTACAATATTATGGTACACGAAACACAAACACATAAAATGCTTAAAACATTCAGCATATTTTGTGATTTATAGCATAAATAGCGTGAAAACAAGCAAATAGAATAGAAACAGGCAAAAAAAGGAAACAAACAGAGAATACAGAAATGCGATGAATATTTCAACGTATTATATAATACATACACTTTTAAATGTTACTATTACACAATTCGCGTAAGTTATTAAATTATTGAACAAAATTTATAACAATATTTAAATTATATAATTGAATAAATTACAGACAAAAACATCTATTATATTTTGAAACTGTATTATAGTGAATCTGCACTGATTGAAGCCTCACAATCAGAAGTTTAATTGTATATAAAGCATTGACTAAAAGTTTACGCAATTTTGTAACAATTATTCAAATGATTCGAATATCTATTTTGTTTGTACATTCAATATTTCTTACATAGAAGACAATGGTTTGAAGATTGCGAATGAACAAAAACTATATTCACTATTTCATTTCTTCAAATACTCAATCTAGATATTCGAATATATGTAAAACTTTATTAATGGAAAGTTTATAGTATAAATTAGTAATTAGAATTCAACTGCAATGTATTAAAGAAAAAAATATTCAAATTAATAATGTAAATTTCAAAATTTCAAAATAAAACAATCTTCATTTTAAAGCCAAAATAAAAATTCTAACAATATATAATTATATGTATTTATTTTATTGTATTATTTAACTAAAAATATTTTGAATAAATTGCTTTTATTTTTGAATTTGAACTGAAATACAAAATATATTTTGATAATTATATTAAAATGCGTTTGTTAATTGAATCGTTTGTAGTTTAAATTAGACTATTGCGTTGAAATTTGCATTGAATTATAGAAGAGTAATCAAATGAAAATAGAACGCTATACAATTTCGTTTCAAATTATTGCAACTTAAGTAATTCAATTTGTGTGTTGTGCGATTTGATTAATCCGTTTGTACGTTATTGCGTTTTGCGTATATCAACATTAACCAAATAATTTAAATTATTTTCAGTTCAGGATTTATTTTCGTTTTTAGTTATACCCCGGGCATTCGTACACAATGTATGACTATCAATTAATAAACGTGTTGTAATTGAATTAATTGTATTTCCATTAGCCGCGCAAATATTGCACAAGTGCCATAAAATCATCGATTCCAGAGTGGAATGAAATTCTCATTTAAATTGCGAAATAAATGCAAGTGATAAAAGTAAGGAGAAATGAAGGAAAAGGCAATTTAGAGCGTCGAGATTAGTTGAGCAACAAAATTGTGACATGCATCTCTCTATATATATATAAAGAGAGAGAGAAAGAGATATATGTGAAGGGAAAATCGACAATAAATGGGAGAGTTGGAAAACTTATTAATACAATTCGGGCTTCTGCTCTTTAATAACACCAATTCATAGAAATATCTGAGCCCTTGTCTGAAGACAGACGAAGTTCCGCTTCATTCCCGAGACATATTTTTATGCAAAACGCGTTCCGGCCGCCGGAGTTTTATTGCACGGGGGGCGAAATGAAGATGCGATCCTGAGGGATGAAGAAGGAGCTTGCAAAATAAAAGAAGAAGAAGAGAGGAGGATGTGCTATAAGGGAAACGAACACTGGAAAGGGGAAAAGGGTCCTTCTCCGTGAAGGAAAATATGAAAGGATTCCGAAAAGGATTTTGATTGCAAGTTAATTGGACATTTTTGCGATATCGTTCATCAATATTCCGTGCGGCAAATTTTAAATAATTCCCTCCGTAAAGTTTGTTAAGTTCGTTTCGATAGGATCAGCATAATGAAGCTTTCCCTCGCTTTCTCAATTGGTGGATGAGGGGGGTGGCAGGGAAGAGAATGGAAGGTGGTTTAGTAAAGGGGTGGCGTGGAGGCGGCTGCAGTGAGCCAAGTGTAGGCATGGTTATCAATGCCAGTTTAAGGGGGAGAGAGAGAGAGAGGCAAAAGCTTGCTTTACAATTTCGCTGATGCGCGTATAATCATAAGTAAACGAAATGGCTAACTAACTATTTATTACGTGCTGGCTCCGCTAATGCAAATTTAATACAATGACATTAACTTTTACCCCGCGGCAAAACGCGACCCCCTTACAAGATTCATGAATGCATAATCCGTGTTACACGGAAGTTCTTGTAATTAACACTTCTTATGGAAATCTTGTTAAATTAATATCCCGACCTAAATCAATATTGGCTACGAACATGGGTTATATATTAGTCTTCCATCACACATTCATTCCCGCCCACGAAAAACTAGTTCAACTAGTTTCAACCTGCCAAACTATAATTAAAATTAATGTATATTTATAAATGAATCAACTAAGTTTTATATAACTAATAATATTATTTATTGATTACAATATATAACCAAAGGGCCATCAATCAAGTTCTTTCCGCCTTAGAATATCTTCTTCTGGTTATATTTGAAGGTCTTTGTA